CACATATTTTGAGTTACTCAAAGCAAAATATGGACATTGTAATTTTATTCATATGGGAAGGGGGGGTATCATTTAGTGAGCTCATTGTTCACAGTATACCTCTAGTTTTTTTTTTTTTTTTTTTTTTTTTTTTTTTTGTAGGAAGCGGAACCGGTTTTTGTTATTTTCATTTATTTGTGTGTGTATTTTGTGTCTGTTTCGCTATTTGTTTTAATCTTTTATTGACAACTATTAATAATGTTGTTAAATCTCAAATTTTAGACTAAAAAAATTGGTTTAATGAAACTCTTTCAAAATAAGTATGAATGTATGTATGAACTATTGTTCTCAGAGAACCATCAAGACGTGTGGAGTCTCTTGTTTATTCCCTTACATGCCAGTACAACTTGCGTTTTTTAAGGAACGAACAATACAATTCGAACAATCTCGATTGAAACGACGCATACAGTGATTATAATGACAAGGGTGTTTTAAATTGTGTATTTTCAAACCTTAACAATTAAATGAAAAAAACTTCGAAGCATACATGACATTGTTTTGTATCATAATTTTAATTATGTGCCATTTCGGGATAAAATTATATCTCTTGTGGACTAGAAACAACGTACAAACGATACATGCAAGTGCAAATATGTGATTAAACGATTGCTTTTTTGAAATTTCTACCTACATATTTATTCAATTTTAATACCAACAATTGAGACTTATTCAGCGGGATATGCCGAATGATAATAACATTAATTCAGTATGTTTGTTTGTCAATAATGATGCTCAACTTGCATTTTAACGGGTGGTTGTTCTCCTCAAGGCTTGTTTACACGCTTCGATACGCAAGAACTTCCGGTTTTTTTAGTATGTCGGTTAGATACCGTGGATATGTTCTACAAAAAACCCCAAAATAAGGTGAATATAATCAACTGCCTCTTGGCTCTATGCCAACACTGAAAATGCATCAACTTTTCTTTCACTTTAAAAAATACATGTGTATTTCAGGTTCACAACTTACATTATCATGTAACCGATTAATAAAACTAAACAGACTTTTCATCAGTAATTCAGGAATAAAAGATGCTGTAAATAAAAGTTTGATTAAGAGTTCTAAATGTACATTTGTATGATATACTCACAAAAGCACCATGATATATGCTGTCTGTAAGTTTTATGATAAAACGTTTACTTAAGGTAAAAATGCTGTAATGCTACTTTAACAATAAAAATATGGACCAATGGTAATGCTTGAGATCTCTCTTTGCTGTGGACCAATCACGGATGCTGTAACAAATAAGATTGAGTGAAGTGACCAATCAGAGAGCTTATTAGGCTGTGTGGGAGGAACCTTTGATCTTTCTGAGCATGATGTAAGGAATGATAAGTAGAATTGCCCCTGATATGTAACAGACTTTGTCTCCACAGCTCCAATACACTAAAATGAAACCAAACAGTTAAAAACCATTTCTTATAAAATTATAATAAACTTCCAATTTAACTTTCGAAAACTTGAAAGAAATTGTGTCCAGAGAAAAGAAATTTATTATTTTTTTTTTTTTGGTAACTTGGTTATTCATACTGGCTTTTGCTTAAGGAGGAATGTCACACCGACATTTTATTTTATAGATCTTTGAATCAACCTTTTTAAACAATGGTTTCAGCATTGAAAGACCGCCATTAGCTCTTGATTATTTTATATGAATTTTTTTGTATTTTTTTCAAAGAATTTAGAAAATTCAAAAAATTATTAACATCCAAATAAGATGCTTTCTTGTAAAGATTTTGCTGTAAATGAATGCATCACATGAAAACCGGATAAAATATGGAATGAAAAGCCATATATAGAACATCAATGAAAATAAAACACAGAATTTGTGAATATTTTTAAACTTGTTGTTATAATCTTCTTAAAACCAGTCACAATTGGGGAGAACATGTTCATTTATCATATTATAAAAGAAATTGAAATGAAAAAAAAAATTAGAGAAATTATTTTTGTAATTTTGACCTATCCCAATCAAAATTAAACCGATCTCAACCATAATTGCACAATTATTGAAAATAAATAAATTTCCCCCAAAACACTAATCTGATTAGGTGTTATAAGGTTTACATGACATTGTAAAACATTATTGAACTTGACAATAAAATAGATTTCTTCGTAGTAAATACATGAAGAGGCAAAAAATTTGTTCATTTTGTGTTAATTTTCATCAGGATCAGTTTAATATTAATCAGGTAAGGTCCAAATATTAAAAAAAAAAAATAATTTCTCTAAAATTTTTTCAATTTCGTTTCAATAAATTTCTTTTTAAAATATGATTGACAAACATGTTGTCCTTATTTGAGACTAGTTTTATGGTGTTTTCAACCATACAGGTTTGAAAAATATTCACAAATAATGTGTTCTATTTTAATAAATAATTTTTATAAAAAAAATATTAAAAACTCTTTCCAGACTTTCGTTACATATTTTATAAGATATTTATATGATGCATTCATTTACAGCAAACATTTAACTCCCAAATAACTTATTTGGATATAAATATTTTTTTTTTTTTGCATTTTATGTGAAAAAATCCAAAAACTTTATATAAAATAATTTTTAAAAAAGCTAACATCGGCCTTTCAATGCTTAAACATTGTTAACAAGAGGTCAATGGGTCTTAAAGGTCACCTGAGCATTATGCAACAACCTTCAAATGATTGAATTTGGTTCATGTTTTAACGAGGTTAGGGGGTGGCAGCCATTTTTAGACTATTTCAATCTCCTTTAAAAGAAGAACTCCATATAAGGATATACAAAATTATGAAATTCTAAAACTAAAATATATAAATCTTTTCTTTGTCAATGATAGTTGACAGCTAAATATACCGTGCGTAAAAAAATAATTTAAATTTGGTGGTTAATTTGTAATAAATTTGTTGACCCTCCAGCCTCCTTAAGCTAGATGATATGATTACAAGTTTGAAAGAGGCACATGATTGCTGATCATAATTTAAAACACTTAGCTATTGCTTAGTTTGGTTACTTAATACCCATAGGCAGGGTAGGGGAACAACAACTTCATTTCAACTTATCAGTAATATTCAGCAATAATCAGTAGTGCCCCTACTACACATGAACCCCGACCCTAGGTTCAAGCATTGCACAGTTTTTGAAAAGGCACCCTTGCTTATCAAAAATGTTTGATTAATACCAAGGAGTAGATTTCAAACAATACTTGATATCGCGATTACTTAACTTAGCGGAACTCTTTCGCGAAGGAGGTAGGAATCGTCTGTTGGGTGGGGGCAATGTGCTATTCAATACAATGCAAGATCGATCATTGTAGCATTTATAAGGACAGATAAGTAAAAAATCCTGGTAGAATACCTCGCTAAACAATCCCTGAACCAGCCTAATATATTTTTGAGAGGAGCCGATTCTAAATTGTCACATTTTTAACGATATTTTTAATTAAGCGGACTCTTCTCGTTAAATTTTCATTGAAAATCGTCACATTTTTAAGCAGATAAAATATTCTTAGCTTGCCTTATTTGACGATCTACTATTTGAAGTTCAATATCTGGCAAAACATCGTGATTTCGGCATCAAATTGTTCTAATCATTCGATTGTCACTACTGTAAACAATGTCATTTGCCCCCAGAAATGTACACTTTTCTCGACTCCCCCGCAAAAGAGCGGTAGTAAGTTAGATAACTACGAGGTACTCATCGGTAGTCGCGATATTACGTATTAACTCATTTTTAGTATATAAGTAGAGCCCCCTCCTTGTACCTCTGGGGTTGTGACATACAATGACGGATGAAAACAGATAGCAACAGGTCACCTGAGTGACTCTCATCAATACCTAACAGCATCCTAATGAAGTTTGATGAAAATATCTTTAAACTGAGCTTTGAACTGAGATAAATGCAAAGTATGACAAAAGAACAGAAGATGAACATAACAAACACTAAATATGCCCCTGCCATAATCACAGTGGGACATAAAAACCATATTTAAGGACAAAACTAATCCCATAGCCCAGGAAATATTTCAAGCCAAAGTTCAAGTGTTACTAATTTCAAGTCTGTATCAGAAAAATGTCATAGGAAGCAACAGGTGTCCAAAATATACATACAGGAAATGACATTGATGACTTGGGTTATATTGGGCAAGAAGGAAATTCTACATTTTGATGAAATTTGATTCAGTAAGAAAGTTCCAATATTCCTATGCAGAGTTAACTGAGATACATCTACAATATTATATTCACTTGTCAGATGTCTGAGCTTGACCCCCAATACCTATTGAAGTTCCTTGTCTACCCAAAGTTTGCACCTCAGGTTACATCTGAGACTTCATACTAGCCTAAACATTTAGCAGGAAGGAATATCCGCCACCAAAAATGGACACAATTAGAAGCTCACAAACGTAAGTTTTAATGACAAGAATTTATAAAACTAAAAACAATTCCTTAATCACCTGAATTTGTGTTATTTGTTGACAGTAAAATTGGTTTTAACTAATTTCACACTACTGAATTTAAAATATATATATCCTAGTCTGGCCTAGACACTTTCAGTATTTCACTATTTAAAATAAATTAATGATTTAGTTGCATTGAAAAATGACTGATTCAGTTGAGGAATTATTTTTATTTAATCATTTACATGTATGAATGTAATTTTTTTTTTTAATTAAGAGATAACATACACTGTCAACATTTCTTTTTAATAAAACATGATAGTTTATTAAGCTTATCAATTACTGTATATCTGGAAAATTTTACGTCATTTTTTTGCGAATTTGGGTCAAAATGTTGATGATTAATTTTTACATTTCAAAATTTTGCGAATTACCACTGCTTTATTTACATTTTCTTATTGGTGTTCATTTTTAAGAAAAATATTTTTGAAAATGCAATGAACTCAAAAATTTTCTAAAAATTTATCTACGGCAAAAACTTCCAGATTTACGATATGATAATTATATTATAGATTTACAAAAGTGAAACATTAATTATACAAGAATATAAATTCCACTTTAATCATTCTCAGTACTAAAGCCATACAACACATATCAGAGTCAGTGTTTGTGGGACTGTGTCGTAAAGTGGGGACACCACAACAGGTGGCCATGAGGAGAGATGTGTTGGACATCATGGATACCGTGATAAATCAAATAAAAACAAGTTATGATGACAGAGAGATGGTGAGTGGAAGTATCGGAGAAGGATTCAGACTGAAAGGATCTGATGTGGACATTATGAGGTGGTCAAATAATCACTGTGTTGTCTGGGACTTATCTCAGTCTCAGTATTACAACACATACAGACAAACACTGATGCTCTGTGACTGTTCTGATAGTCCACCAGGATTTACTTTGTTATATTTACTGTCATTAACCTGGGACAGAAGAATCCAGAGAGGGTGTGTTAGAATGAATAACAGATATTATGTATCTAGTTCTGTATACAGACAGTACTCTTTATATGTATCATTACAAACTGCACCTTATAACTTAACGCCACATGGACCCTGTGCCACTGGAACATTTGGAAGACAAGAATATGATAACAGTCCAGTCCAATACGAAAATTCGTAATTTGACGAAAAAACGTAAGATTACGAGAAAGCGTAATATTACAAGTTATCGTAATATAAAACTTATATTACGATTTTTCATAATGTAGTTAAATTACGAATATGCGTAATTTAGCAGGTGTAAGAGACTATATTACGATTTTTCGTAATCCAAGACAAGTTCAAGCATTGCAAGAAATTGAGTGGCGGGTAGCAAAGTATGGCGTTTATTACGAGATGTCACGGGCGATAACTTGTACGACGCTTACTGAGATTTGAAATTCTGTGTATTTTAATAAGAATTGCACTAACAGTTGAATTATGAAAGGAGGGTGTGATTTTTAGGGTAGACTTCGGAAGAAAAGTAGGGAGTTCGGGTGATATAGACCAATGCTACATGCTTGAGCAAATATTGAAATTTACTGGAAAATTGGTCTTATCCGTGGGAAAATTCCTATAAAAGAATAATAAAAGAAATTGTCCACTCACCCATCGCTGGCGATACTGTCTTCTTGAATTTCCATGCTTTCTGATAGGTAACTGACCAATCTGACCGCATGCTATTATTAGCCGAGGAATCTGATATATTACTGACGTCATACTTTGATACCCACCACTCAATTTCTTGCAATGCTTGATTTGACTTGGATTACGAAAACTCGTAATATAGTTTCTTACAATCTACTATATTACGCGTATTCGTAATTTAACTACATTACAAAAAATCGTAATATAAGTTTTATATTACGAAAACTCGTAATATTACGAATTTTCGTATTGGACTGGACTGGATAATGCTGACTGTTTTGTTAGTGACTTTTGGCCTCCCTCTGCCTCCTCATGGAGAGACAGATGTCACTCATGGCCCCAGCCTCATGTTGTTGATGATATAGTGAAAAATGGATGTCACTTTGTAGCAATTGGACATAAGCTAGGAAATCATGAAGATCATGAATGGAGAATTTCTTTCTCCCAAGCTGAACAAAAACTTGTGTTTGTAATGAATCACTGTCAATTCTTAACTTACGGCTTACTTAAATTCATCTTAACAGAAATAATTAACAATGGAGTAGGTGATGATGATAAATTACTGTGTTCCTATCACATGAAGACGGCAGTTTTCTGGGTGATTCAACAAAATACAATACCTCACTGGTGTCCACAAAATCTCCTGGGGGGTTTCTGGGTCTGTTTTAAACTCATCCTCAAATGGGTTTATGAGGGGGTCTGTCCTAACTTTTTTATTCCAGAAAACAACATGTTTCTGAGTAAAAGTTTTGGCATCAAACAACATCAATTAATTATAAGACTGTCTGAGTTGTATGAGAAGGGTTTGGCATTCCTGCTACACAGTCCCTCCATTAGGTCTTATATTATAGATGTCTTACATAACCCCAGAAACTCCATCTGTACAGATGTTCATACTCTGATTTCTGAGGCTGAGTTTGATAGATATCTATTTCGTGAAATACTACTTGATTGCATACCAGCCAAATTGGACATACAAAGCTGCATTAGATATCTACATACAATAGAACAGATGATAGGTTCACCCCTCCTGACACAGTATCAAGTCCTCAAGCTACAGATCAGCACTGCCAGGGTCCTTCAGTACACTGCTTTTATATTACACATGGAAACTTACACACCTGAAAACAAACTGAGTTATAGAGCTGACAAAATGTCCTCTCACATGCTGAAATTAGCATCCAGGTTTGGTTGTATCACAGACATGCTGTACATAGCCATGTATTACTACAAGACACGTAGACACATGGAAGCTTTATTTTTTGTAGAGATGATAAAGGTCAAGTTAGCACAGCCTTATGTGATGTATATACATTATTTAGATAGAAAGATGTATACTGAGGCTGTAGGGGGGCAGTCCTGGTCTACAAAGATGAGACAGGCTGTAGCAGGGAATGTCGGACTTTACAATAGCATCCATTACATTAATGAACTGATACCAGAACTACAGTCTGCTCTACAGAACCACTGGACATTATTATTTGTACCATCCTTGGTACTGTTATACATGCTAGAGATCTTTTGCTACAGACATGTAGACACAATGCGAGCACAAACAGCTCTAGATGATCTACAGACCCTAGTTCACTATGATCAGGGACAGTTTATAGATTTAGATTTCAGAGACATATCGTTGCAGATTCTGGGAATCTGTCAACAGGTGACAGGGAACCTTCAGGCTGCTCTATACTCATACCAACAATCTCTCAGACAAAAACCATTCAACAAAGTACAAACAGCTACAAAAATGAGAATACAGAGTTTACAAATGGATTCCCTTAATTAATTAAATGTCAGATGATATTTGTAGGAGTTCACAGATAGAGATTCTCATTTCATAATCCTCTTCTGATTACATGTATTATAAAGCTAATAATCTAGTCTATAGTATAATAAAATAAAATTTAAGAGGCACCATTACTTATCATAATTTATGATACACTTAGCATGCATACACTACTACATGTAAATTACTTAATACCCAGAGTTAGATCAGAGAAACAGAGAAAAAATGCGTTTCAACTTTATAACCATTTGTGCACCCCACCCCACAGGAACCACTGACCCTGGGGCCACATATTTCAAAATTATTTTCATCACAAATTTCATTTGACTAATACCACAGAGCAGATTTCATACCTGTAACCATTGATTTATTTTCAGACTATAGTGGAGCTTCATTTATCTGGACGCTTTGGTTCGTAGTCAATTTATCCAGTTATGTGAAACGTCCGGATATCTGAATTACCAGTTAAACAAGACAAAATAATGTTTAAAAAATCCATTCCGATGAAAAGTCGTCCGGATACTGAAGCATCCGGATATCTGGCGTCTGGATATCTGAAGGTCCATTGTATCCCCCTGACCCAGCGGGCATGAAATTAACCATTTTAATTGATGCACCTTTCTTCGTCATAAGTATACATACTTAGATCATTGGCATATTACCCAGAAGCAATGGAAAAATTTTCCGAAGGAGTAATGGAAAAGAGCTACAGCTCACCATGTCTTCCTTTATATAGCATCTAATTTAAATGTCTTCGCCCATTTGTATGTAATAGAGAAACCACTCTCTGTTTGAAAGAAAATGTTCCGGAATTTGTTTTTTGTGGTAGGTGTTGATAATTGGCTTGTATTTCTTGATACTCAAGGTCAATAATAATGATTGTACAAAATTTTAATTAGATATACTATATTATACACCATGAAAATAAAAATAATACCATATCCTCATGTATATTGTGTAAAATAAGGGGACCCTAATAAGGGAACAAGCTACTACATTGTTTATTTAAGTGGAAAACTTATTAACTGAAGAAAATATTACTTGAATCCAAGGCATCACGAAAAGAAAGTCAAAGTAATTTTGTTTAATTAATGATTTATTAATTAGGATCAATTAATTAAATTGATTAATTTAACAAGAGGCCCATGGGCCTTATAAGTCATCTAAGCATTATGCAACAACTTTCCAGTGATTGAATTTGATTCAAGTTATAAGCCAGATGCTATGGCATTTACAATTTTGAAAGAGGCACCATTGGTCATCATAACTATACACTTAACAGTTGCTTAGTTTGGTTACTTAATACCAATAGGCAGGGTAGGGGAAAAATGCATTTCAACAAATCAGTAATTCAGCAATAATCAGTAGTGCCCTTACCACACATGAACCCTTGACCCTTGGGCCTAGATCCTCACATTGTACAATTTTTGAAAAGGCATCCTTGCTTTTCAAGAATATTAGATTAATACCAAGGAGAAGATTTCAAACAATTCATTTATTTTCAGTTTATAAGTACAGCCCCCGTTATGGTACCCATAAAATTTACAACTTTGATAGAGGCACTTGCTCATCATAACTATGTACTTAGTTAGTCTATTTAATACCCAGGAGCAGAGAAGAATATTTTCAAAGAATTCATGTATTTTCACTATATAATCAATAGAGCCCCAAACTAACACCAGAACCCCTGACCCTGGGGCCATAAAATTCACAACTTTGGTAGAGACACTCTTGGTCATCATAACTATGCACTTAGTTTATCTAATACTTGGGAGCAGAGAAGAATATTTTCAAAGAATACCTGAGTTACTCAGGTGACCTAAAAAGTCGGTGTTGCATTCCACCTTAAATGTCCTCAATAATTTAATTTTAGTTGAAGCATAAGATTAATGGCTGCATTTCATTTCATTAATTTTTGGTAATTATCGACTTTTCATTTCCGACATATTTTAGTTTTCATTTCCGACATTTTTCAAATACATATGTAGTACCTATAGTAACAGATTTGATAACTTTACATACAAAAAATTTGAAGGAATAATAATAAATGATTAATGAATAATTGAAATCCAACTTTGTAAATCCCAGTGACTTGTAAAAATCAGTAACTTGCATTTGGACACAAGAATGGTGCTGTCACTGACATTTACTTAAGTGCAGATTAAATGTGTGGGAAAAGTTTTATGCATTACCTAGACTTAGTGCTACATGTATGCATATATGTATAAATGTTTTTTTTTTTAAATTTTATTCATATTTTGGTATAAATACTTTTACATTCCATTTTTTCTTTTACTTAAAATAATGTTGAATTGCCGCACAGGTAAATTCTGGAAATAAAAAAAAAATTATGTCGGAAATGAAAAAAAAATGTCGGAAATGCTGTGCGTATTTCCGGAAATGAAATGCAGCGTAATTAACAGCAAAGACTTTAATTAGTTGAAAAACAATTAAGTTAAGCTTAACCAATATTGTGATCATATGACCTTACCTACACTGGATAAAACAGGACCGAAAGCTCTGGCTAGAGACCCTAGAGATCTGAACACTCCCATCACCACCCCCTTCTGATCCGTGCCTCCAAATCCTGAGATCAGTGTTGTCAGACATGGAACAACTGTGGCTGAAGCTATATAAAAATGTAGTAATTTCAAATAATATCTCAATTTCCTAGTCCAAATCCAGGAATATTTCATATACAAGGGGTGATCAAAAAATACGCAAATCACGTGAAATAGGCGGTCCCTTCGTAGCGTTCTGTAACAAAAGCTGAAAGATTTTTCCGAGTTTAATATTTCTCTCCATGTAAGTTAATTTTTATAACAAGATCAGTTTATTTGTCAGAAATGGTCAAAACTCGGCAACAGAATGGGTGGATAAGAATATCCTTTCCAAAAATAAGTATGGCGACCATCAAAACCCAAATCGTCTGTCTCGGGAGAGACGTTTATTCAAGGTGAATAGGGAATGAGTGCTTTCTTCTTTTCTTATCTACCGGTAATATGTTTTAAATCTAAAGTAAACGATATCTTAAGTGTTTCATAATTATATTATTGTTAAAATATTCAACTATTTTTAAAATAATTGGACTTCTTTGATAGCAATAGCAAATTGCTTTATTAAAAACACACCTCCTTTTAAATTTTTGCTCTAGAACTCCATTGGAAAAAGCCGTTGTTGCTGCTCTGATTCTAAAGCTGTGACCTTTATATCTAACCCACACCAATTTAATGACAAACATAACTGATCTGTACAATATTTCCGTGACACCGATGACTCATCCATGAAAGTAAAAAGAGGACCAGAAGTTGGTTTTCGTAATTGAAAATATGTCCATAGGGCCTGAACAGGACATATTGTGTTATCTTTGCTGTCATTTTTCACATGCACAGTGTAAGATTGACCTTTACCATGTTTGAAAGTTTTCATAGTCAACTCCAACCCTATTGGGCAGTTTAAAGTACATGTATTTTCTAAAAAATGTACAGATTCTATTGTCAATAAATGAAAATTTCTGTCTTTTGAAGCTGTAAATTCTACAATCCTAAGAAAACAGTGAAATGCCACTAAATACACACTTTTCATAAGTACCTGTACAAAATATAAACTTGTTTTATATTGTTAAAAAGCTATCAGCAGTTTAAGAATGATTGGTGTTATAGGTAAACTAGGGTCCACTAAGCTTGTCTTATTCTTGTAACCTTGTAAACTTTTTTTCACTAAAAGTTGGGCCTTTAATATTCCTTATCTTATGTTGAATACTTAATGCTGAATCATAGGTTGCCAGAAACAATAAGCTATAAACAAAATGATATCTTAAGCTTATGCTTTTGCTGGTACACCTTTCCTTGGCAAAGCAAAATGATGACACCAAACAATGGTAATATTCAATTGCCCTTTGAGTTGATGCTGCTAATGACTGATTTATTAGGTCTGAAGCTATTGATTCTAAACTTTGAGATTGTCCTCATTGTTATGGCATGCTACAGGGTTGTTGTAGGAATTATTTTGTAGGGACTGTGGAATATTGCTGGCGAGAAAGATGATCAGCTAAAACATTATCTAAACCCGGTACATGTCTTCCTTGAAATAAAATATTGTGTTTAAAATATTGAACTACTAAACGACAAACAAGAACCATGATTGACTTTACTTTAGGTTTGTTTGTTGATGATGTGCACAACAGCATCATTATCCGTGAAAAAAATTTAATAAAAACACATCGATTTTCTAACTGATCTGCTCAAAGCTGAACTGCAAGTACACTTGGAAATAACTCCTTTTATTGTAATATGATAGGTTTTCCAGGTTTTAGGCCATATACCACTAAAATACTGATTTCGTAAATAACCACAGAAACCAATGCTACTTGTATCCATCTACAACTGTAATGAGTCAGAATTGTCCCATTGTTCTGATGAAAACAGTGACTTGCTATTGAAATGCTCCAAAAACAATCCCCAAGCATTTAAATTCGCTCGAGCTTCCTTATTCAATCTCCTATGATGAAAAGGTTGAGTTAACTCAATTAACAGATCATTTAGCCGCCTAGGAAATGGGCGTCCTGGAATGACCACTGAACAGGCAAAGTTTAACAGACCTATTACAGACTGTAACTCTAGTAATGTTACAGATTTTTTAGACTTGTGAATTTGTATTAGGTGTCTAGCTTTAGTTAACTTGTCTTGTGGTAAACATGACTCCATCAAAATAGAATCCAACTCAATACCCAAACATATAAGTGAAGCACAGGGAAGGACAGTTTTTAACTTCTTAATTGGAATACCAATATCCTTGAACAAAAACATGAACTAGTCTCCCATGTAAGCCTAACTTGTTTTCACATACCCAATGTACTGCAGTACTGAATTCTTCAAATAACTGACATGAAAAATTAAGTCACATAGGGAGAGTTTTGTCAAAATAGTATTCATGGTCTAAAGTAAAACCCAAAAATTCCCAATGTTCCAATGTATTGGAATGATTTTATATGCATTCTGAATATCCAATTTAAAAAACCCATAATTTTTCCCATATATGCGCATTAAACCTACTGCATCTTCTATCTCCTGATATTGAACAGATTTGAATTTATTATGAAAACCAGAAACCCAGAATTTAGACCTACTTTGGATTTACCCAAACTGATAGCCAATGCCTCACTATGGATTTCTGAATTTAATGTTTGCTTTTTGGGTTTGATTTCACACTCCCCTTCTAAGATTTCACTGATTTCAAAGCCTTTATAATTATTCTTATTTTTGATTCCTAACAAATTTACAAATCAACAAATTCATTTCCCCAGATTTTGCTTTTTATCTTAGAATCTACACGGAGACCAAATGGCTTAATGATACTGGGATTCTTAACCCCTGCGTTAAGCGATAACTCCTTAGATGCTGTTTGTTAATTAGTACCTGAATTACTTGGTAAAATTGCCGTCTTCTAAATGGCTTGAATGATTGTTGCTTGTTGGAGTGTCACTTGCGACTTCCTCTTGTTGTAAATTAACTGGCTTTGTAACCACCCCCATAGTCTGTAGGCCTATTACTGGTACTCATCTCTGTAAATGGATGTTAGCATGTATGCCTAATTTATACAAATCATGTCAAGAATTTAACCTATCTATGACTGATAAAATTATCAGCTTTCGAGTAATGTGGCAAAATTATTGTTGATTTACTCATCCAAATATTAGCCCATATCAGGCAATAGGATAAAATTACCCATTAGACCTGACTTAAGGGTAGTTCTTTATACCAATTATTGTTTATATCTTAAAACAGTCTGTATGATTACAGTGCACTAGTGAAATATAGCTACACAATGTATCAAAAACC